CTACCTTGGGCTCTGGAACACAGACAGAACATTATAGCACTTCAATTCAAGAGGGTAACCCCTTGAAGTTACGAGTGACTTGATCTTTACTGTGTGGGATTATAGGCCTGCAATACAGGAAGCAAGATTCTCGGGCCAGATAACTGACACTTATACTGTACATAATGGAAACCAATAACTGTAGGGGAAAATGCAACAGAGAGGGATCAAGAGGCCCAACACAAATCCAACATCTATGGTTTTCCCAGCCCGGGAACCGAGAAACTGAACCTGTGTGTGGGAGAGGTTCCCTTCTCCATCCTCGCACCTGCTGCCTAGACAGTCTGCACACACCTCTGGTTTTCTGTATGGTGTGACGCGTGGGTAAGACCACAACATATAATCACATGAACTCTTGTGTAAGCCAGGCTCCTTTGTACAAGCTATGAGTTTGGTGCATAAGGCAACCTTTTTGCTGATTATATCATCTTTAGCTTTTAATGAAGAAATTGCACAATAAGAAAAAAAATAGCCACACAAGCTACTTAACTCAGACAAGAACCATGTTTAGATAAGAAAAATTACTCAACTTATAGTAGAATACATGTATAACAATATGTTTATTAGTGTCTGTGACAGGCAAAAAATAAAAATCTGGTAGGTTGAGTAAGAAATAAATGAGCAGTATTACTGTGGTAAAGTGTCACGTTGTTTTAGATTAAATAACGTGGGAAGAGCCGGTAAAAGCTAAAATGTCTCAGTTCAATAGAATTATAGACCAATTATGATAACAATACGATCAGCGTTATTTAAAGGGCCTAAACAGTTGTGATGCTTATGTGAAGCAGTTTGTTGTGAGAATCCGACTCCTCCTCAGGTGGGAGGCAGGAAGAGGCAGGTCCACTGTGTCCGAGTGTGTCTGTGTGGCGATGTGGAAGCTTTGAGCAGAGGTGGGCATCACTTTGATTCTGCTTATTGATTCTAATTATTCTGACTTTAATGGAAAAACACCTTTAGCTTAAGCAGAAATGCAATGTTTTATGTTTCCAAAAAAAGAAAAAGTCTTATAACCATATGCAAGTTAATGACGTTTTTGAGTTGAGCAAATGGTGCTGACAAACTTCCGTTTCTTTTCAGATTTGTCAAATTTTTGATGTTTTATTCCATCTGACCTCTAACAACTGTCTAAGTAACTTCATCTTAAAGATTCAAAGAAGAAAGAGCTGCTCCAGTTTGAAAGCAATTTTAAGTGATCACAGGGAAAAGACAGTGAACTACTGCTAATACCAGCCTTATACTGTGCTAAAGGAAAATAACGCTACCTGAATTCATTCATCTGTGGCACACATTATTCAGCCACACTCTAAAGTGCATTGCAGTGATTGACTCATCTTTGGGGATCGATAAGCAGAATCAATGTGTGGGGTTTGTAAGGAATTATTATTAATTTTAAAATGGCTGCAATTTTGAACCAGGTCATGATACCCAACTGTTTGACTGGTTCTAGAAAAGTGGCCTGGGCCTGGTTGCTGGTCAGACACAGTATAGTGAGTAAAAGAACAGTGTCTCTGTTAAAATGTAGGTAGTATAATATTTTTTCCTCTGAGCTGAAATGAGTGAAGTGATAGGGAGACAGTAGGCCTGGGGACTGGGCTGCACGCAGTTGATTTCAGGGTGTGGTTCTGGAGAAGACGCAGCTCGTAGGTTTGAATCCTAGGCCTGTTGTGTAGCACGGTCGTGGATCCCCACTTTGCTAAGTCATGGCAGGAACCAGCTGGTGGTCGGAAGGCGAATGGCTGGGGAGATTGTGTGTTTGAATCCCACACCTAATTACCCTGCTTACAGCCAGTGTGTCTGAATACTGAGCTGAACTATGAAAGACCAAACCGGGCACATCCTAGTGCCAGCAACAGACACATATCAGGCAGCGTGTTGCATCATTTGGTACGCTGTAAGTTAATTGTCCCTTGTTGACCTTTTTCACTAAGAGACCATGCTATCTCATGTGTAAGGGTTGTCTATGTGGTTGGCTCAATGCTGGGCAACTTTAGTACACTGGTGGTCAACCTGCATCAAACCTGAGTCGAGAGCTGGGCAGAAAGTAGGTGAAAGTGGCTTGAGCCGGACATCTCAGCTTGTTAAGATGGTCTTGGTATAGAGCTGCAAAAGGGACAGAGAACTGAGTGTGGGGCTCAGCTAGATAAGGCAGAATGTGGCTGGGAATACGATTCCCTAAAAGTAGCTTAGACTCAGGGTTTTCAAAAGGCCCAGAGGTGAAGAGAGGCTCAAGTCTCAGGATGCAGGTTGATGGTCAGGGCTGGGGGTTTAAGTCCGGGTCTGTGGCTGGGTTTGAATCTAGGGCTCTAGGTGATCTGGTCCAGGGCTCTCAGCAGGTCACAGCCCTGGAGAAGGTGCAGGTTGCCCTGCAGTGGGATGTTGACCTCACAGTCGTAACGGGTCAACTCTGGCAGACAGGAGGGCCCAAACGAAGGCCCCAGCAGACGACTAGCTATACCTGGAAAACGAGAAAGAAAATCTGCATGGTAGTGACTCAGGCAGGCAGGCAGTCACCGTGAGTAACAGTCTTAGTTGTCAAACTCTTTTCTGTCTGTAGTTGAGCCCTAAAACATCATTTTCTTAAAATAAGTAAAAATAAGATCTGCCAGGGCAATAATATAAGGAACTTTTTCCATTTGAAATTGACTTGTTTCAAGACTTTGCTACAAATGTGTGTAAATTTCAAAACGGTTTAATCAAGAAAAGCAGAAATTTAAGATAAGACCTGAATAAGTTGGGAGAGTTTTTGCAGTGTATTTGCAGTTCCAGTGCTACAGGTTAGTAGCTGAGGTTCTAACTCTGCGGGTTGTAAACACTAACATCAGACTTCATCTCACCCTCAGTCTTGTTAGAAGGCATGGTGTTATACTCGGTGTAGATGCAGCTCTTTTGAGGAAAGGCTTTCTCATTTGCACCACCCATCTCAATTCCTGGATACTGAGACTTCCTGTGTTGTTGCAGAGAGCTGAGAACTGAAGACATGCTGCTTGGCGTCATCCTGCCCATCCCTGAGCCTGAGAGCCGAGAGGATACAGGTACAGTTGGTGGGTGGAAGAGGTGATAACGCAAGATGTTTTTCCACACACATAGACACAAACCAGGCGCTTGTACCTGTCAGTGAGCCTGCTCTTAGAGAACGATCCATGGCGATACAACTGTCACCCCTCATCTTCTTCCAAATTATTTCTGGAAGTTTATTTTCACCCTGAAAAACAATCCCACAGATACAGTACTTGCTGGTTGTAAACAAAAAAACAAAGCAAGTTCCCTGAATAGTTACATTAACCACATGATTTTAAAAAAGTATAGAAGCACCTAACCCCCCGCAAAAATTAGGGATCTTATCTCATAATTAGGGGAGAACACAGGGTTTGGAACGCTGCAGAATTGCAGCCCACATTGTCACACACTGTATCCAAGGCAAGAGTATGCAGCTTGTACTTCCTGTTTGAACAGACAATACTTTTACTCTTGTATAACATTGCCATAGGCCTGGATATGAGGAGCTACTGTGGGAAGCAGCTTGGGCGCCATTTGTAGTCTATATTTCTTTACGTTTTGGAACACTGAGTAGGCCCAAGGTAACAGCTCACTTAAGTTCTGTGCTACAGAGTTATGTTAAAGCCAAAGAAATCTTAATTTCCCAGTGTTTCTCAAGTTTCTCAAGGTTCGGAAGCTTTGCAACTCCTCAGTGCGTGTAGAGTGTAGGAAGCAACTTTGAGGCTCGATCTTAGCCTATTTGTTTGCACTCTGGAACACTAAGCGTGCCAAATGAGCTATTAACAGTTCACTCTTGCTATGCACTGACAACTATCACTGAATTACTTTGATACTAGAGAATTAATTAAAACCGGATTATTTTCAGGCAGGTTCTGCAGCGTTCCAAGCCCTGCAGGAAGGTCTGGTTAGTGTTAATTTCATTAATGAAAAAGCAGACTAAGGCTAAAACAAAATCAAAGTCGGGTGCCAAAATGAACACTGGTCATGTAATTTTGAGATGGTAAGTTATAACTGAGATAGGACCCTAGAATGCAATGCACTTGTGAAAAACAAGTGTGCACACAGTCTGTAGTCTGTGTGCATCATCTTTCCACAAAGTCAAAGGCTAATAGCATTTAATTTGTTTTTCTTTTAATTAGCTGCTTATTTTAAAACAAGTATAAAGAGCAGTTCTAGCCTTAAACCTGTCATTAAAGGAGATTTTCACTAGATAATCTGGATAATTTTTATCGGCCAAGTATGTTACACAAGGAATTTGTTTCTGGTACAGAACCGATGGCAGCCATCTACGGCGCCACCTCAACCAATTCAATGTCTTGCCCAAGGACACTTCGACACATGGGCTGCTGGCACCGAGATTCGAACTTTCAACCTTCTGGTTGGGAGACGACTGCTCTACTCACTGCACCACTGTCGCCTCCTCTGCTTTGGTTTCATGGTGTAATCATCCAAATGAAACTAATGTTGCACAGTAAATACACTGATTATTTGAGGAACTCACCACAGCCATCTGGGTGAAGGAGCGCTTGATACTGTTGGTCATGGCCACTCTGGCTAGACTCATGTCTGTGTAGGCTTGTACAAAGTTACCATTGGACCTGCACAAACATGAACACAAGCTCCAAATCAAATCAAATCAAATCAAATCAAATTTTATTTGTATAGCGCCAAATCACAACAAAAGTCATCCCAGGACACTTTACAAAGTAAGGTCTAGACATTACTGTTATCAATATTATTACATAGGGAAAACCCAACAAATCCCCCTTGAGCAGCACTTGGCGACAGTGGGGAGGAAAAACTCCTTTTAACGGAAGAAACCTCCGACAGACCCCGGCTCTTGGTGGGCAGCCTTCTGCCTCGACCGGTTGGGGTGAGTGGATAGAGGAGAGACAAAAGAAGAAAAGCAACAAGACACAACAATCAAACACTGATCCACTGTGGGTCCTGTGAGATGCGGAACCTTTGACAGACTGCTGTTTCCTGCGGTAA